GAGAGAGAGAGAGCGGGTGAATGTGTGTTGTGTCTGACCTCAGTGTGTTACCCTACTGTCCACCACAGTGATCCGAAGTATGTATGTGTTTGTATGCAAGTTAAAGACTGTGGTATCAAATGTTCACACATTCTAATTTGTTACAGTTTAATACTTCTAAGATGTTATAATATTCCATTCTATTCTATGTGATGTTCATTTAATTATTAGTATTGTTATTATATTATTTTTTTTTAAATTGTGTACATGCATACTAAGCTTTGGCAATTATTGTATCATTTACAGTCATGCCAATAAAGCAATTTTGAATAGAGAGAGATAACTTTGTAATTAAATAGCTCCCTCCTCTGGTTGACAATAAGTATAGCGCAAAAACGTATGGTGTGATTGATCACAGTTTCCACCAATAAAAAGAAAGATCGTCACCGTTTATGGCAAATCTAAGCCAATGGGAATCGCAAGAGGCGACAAATGGGCGGGACTTCATGTTATTATATTATTTTTTTTTAAATTGTGTACATGCATACTAAGCTTTGGCAATTATTGTATCATTTACAGTCATGCCAATAAAGCAATTTTGAATAGAGAGAGATAACTTTGTAATAGCTCCCTCCTCTGGTTGACAATAAGTATAGCGCAAAAACGTATGGTGTGATTGATCACAGTTTCCACCAATAAAAAGAAAGATCGTCACCGTTTATGGCAAATCTAAGCCAATGGGAATCGCAAGAGGCGACAAATGGGCGGGACTTCTGCCATTTGCGGCCGCAAACGTTGTTGTTGGAAGAGAAGTCGATTCAAGAAGCCATTACGCTGCGCAATTGTGTCGGGACAAAAACGTACTATTTTTACGTATTCTACGCAATATTTTTACCTCCCCCCCCCCCAACCCAATTATGGCATCTCAGGCCAAAAAGAGAAAAACGAATTTCTCCGAAAGGGAGGTGGAGATCATCGTGGAGGAGATGGAGAAGCAAAAGCACATTTTAGTGAATCATTTTAACGCGGGCGTCACGCACATCGCCAAGAACAGCGCGTGGGTGGAGATCCTGAAGCGCGTGAATGCCGTGAGCACCTGCCAGCGAGAGCTCGCGGAGGTCAAGAAGAAATGGTCCGATCTGAAGACGGAGGTGCGGCGCAAAGTGGCGCAGGCGCGGGCGGCCATGGAGGGCACGGGTGACTGCAGCAGCGTGCCGGTCATCCTGAGCTCCATGCAGCAGCGCATCTGCAATCTGCTCGGAGAAGCGACCATCATCAGCCTCCCGGCGGCGGACGCGGAGATCGCGGTGCCCATCAGCTCCGCAGCCAGCGCCGCGTTAACGCAAAGTAAGACAGTAGCGTTACTGCTGCGTAACTTCACGTGCGTGCAGTCGCACTGCTGTTACACTTAACCCTCGATGGTGCGGAGCTGCCATATGGCGAGAAGTAATTCCTTGTTATTCTGAAAAAATTAAATATATTGCACTATAGGTAGACAATAATGTGCTGTTTTTAAGTCACATGACATTTGAATGTCCGTCCAAAACTATTATTCCCACTGCCCCCCCTCACACAGAAGACTATGGAAGCCTGTTAATGCCACTGAATAAAAAATTATTTTCTCGGAATTGCGAGAAATAAAGTCAGAAGTGCGAGGAAAACTCCTAATTGTAGGATATAAACTCCAAATAATGAGGAAAAAAGTCCAGATTTCGAGATAAAAATGTCTCATTTTAAGAAAATGGCCTTTAAAGATACACTGTAAAAAATGTCCGTGAATTTAACTAGGGATGCACCGATATGAACATTTTGTTTGCATTTGATATTTTCATAAACTTAAACTTCCATCACTTTTTTGTTATATAATCTTTATAACTTTAGAACGTGCACTAGACTTCTGTCGCTTGATTTCCAATTCAAATATTGAAAAATCCTTATCACGCGATTTGTCTAAATTGAAATGTTGAATATAAGTCCACAACTCATGAAAAGTTACAGCCTCTGCTTCAGGTATCTGTAACTTACTGTATAACTTATCACTATAATACAGATTCTTTACGCAGACAAGCTGGTTCTGTGTGTATATATGACATTTCCATATTAGTTATATATTACATATTAGTTATAATATGTTCTAATGTAAATGTTCAGATGTTATAAACCATTTTCTTTGTCGTCTTAATGCTTTGGCAATACAATAAAGCTATTTGAATAGAATTGAATAGAATTGAATCGAATCGAATCGAATTGAGAGAGAGAGAGAGAGAGAGAGAGAGACAGAGAGAGAGAGGGGGGCGGAGCTTCTTTAGTGAATCTAAACACACAGGAACAGAAGAATCACATCCAAACATCGGAGACAGAAGCACGAGCTCAGAGTTGATCATGTTTGTTGTGATTTGTGTGGTTATGTCTCGCAGATGATCGATGAAATCATGATCCCGCGGAGAGAGTTTAAGCCCGCTTCACTGTGCACATGTTAAACACCAGACTTCAGCAGAGAATTAAACCACTTCAAGCTCGGGTTCATGGCGTTTCTCGTCAAGAAGAAGAGGTTTAAGTTTCAGACTCATGTTACTCTGGAGGAGCTGACAGCTGTGCCGTTCGTCAACGGAGTTTTGTTCTGTAAAATCAGACTGCTGGATGGAGATTTCACTGCTTCATCATCCAGGTAAGGACCCCATCATCATCATCTTCATCATCTGTGAACCCTTCATTTGTTTATTCATGCAGTTCTGCATGCACTCATTCAAACTGTACTTACTGTATTCATGCATCATGGTATTTACATGCATGCATACATGGGGGGGAACGCATTACGAGTTACGTAATCAGATTACTTGTTTTCAAGTAACTAGTAAAGTAATGCATTACTTTTTAATTTACAAGAGAATGTCTGAGTTACTTTTTCAAATAAGTAACGCAAGTTACTTCCCCCCCCCCCTCAATTTATTGATTGAAAGCTCTCTTGTCCCCATGTTGAGAGAAATCAGAAGATGTTACTTTAGTTCTAAAATAAATGTGAACATGCATTAATTCATCTCACTTACTCACTCACAATAAAAAAAAATCAGATTTAGTTTTCCTCAAAATGAATAAAAACAGTTCAAAGCAACTCAGAATATGACTCAAAGCTGCAATAATTAAATATGTTAAATAATACAAATATCCTTTATGTATTTAATCCCGTTTTATTAACCACCTTCGGTGATCCAATTCAACCGTACTAATAAACACAAATTACACAAGATAAACTAACATTTCTTCTTTTTTCATTGCTGAAGAGTGTTGAACTTTCTTCTTCTGTGTTCTACTGTACAGACGTGAATTTGCACTTTTAAGGGCTTTTATATTTGCAGAAAATATAACTTTTTATATTAAAAGCAAACGAGCAACCCAGATTTAAAAAGTAACGCAAAAGTAACGTAACGCATTACTTTCAATAAAAAGTAACTAAGTAACGTAATTAGTTACTTTTTTAGGAAGTAACTAAGTATTGTAATGCATTACTTTTAAAAGTAACTTTCCCCAGCGCTGCACACAAGGTATTTAAAAGAGTACAGGGGTTAAACCTGCAAAAATGACCAGGGAGCTTTTTTCCTTTTAATGTAAATACCATGAATTTCTGTACTGTAGTATTGCAGTCTGATGCCTTATATTGCTGTACCATGGTACAACCTCGGTGCCTTTATAAAGGTACCATGGTAAAAAAAACAAATCAGGATAGTACTATGGTACTTGTCTTAAAATGATGATAGTACCTTGGTACTTGTTGCTGTTCAGCTTTAAAATGAAAAAATATTTGCTTTAAATTCAGCAGGACCTTTTTGCAGTGTTATTGAGTGTATTTGAGATGCCATTTCAATTTTGAATTACTCTTTATTTTTATATTTTCTTTTTTAATTTAAATTTTAGGTGAAGTTTTAGTATTTTTTGTGTGTTTCTGTCTTTTTTATTAGTTTTTATATATATATATATATATATATAAGATATTTTGTAAATTCCCTACTGTAAATATATCAAAACTTAATTTTTGATTAGTAATATGCATTGCTAAGAACTTCATTTGGACAATTTTAAAGGAGATTTTCTCAATATTTGATTTTTTTGCACCCTCAGATTCCAGATTTTCAAATAGTTGCATCTCAACCAAATATTGTCCTATCATAACAAACTTATTTATTCAGCTTTCAGATGATGTATAAATCTCAATTTAAAAAAAATTTACCTTTATGACTGGTTTTGTGGTCCAGGGTCACATATATGGGTGGATTTTGATGCGAGAGACAACAGGAGATGGACTTTTTCACTGGAGGAAGCGTTATTATGAATTATGGACTCATGTTATGGCCAGAAGCAACAGTTTAAAGTTTAAACGGCATAATGACGGATTTGTTTTTTACAAACACGCAGCTTTTGTCTTCTCAAGGCATTAACTGATGGACTGGAGTGGTGTGGATTACTTGTGGATTATTGTGATGTTTTTATCAGCTGTTTGGACTCTCATTCTGACGGCACCCATTCACTGCAGAGCACCCATTGCTGAGACACTGATGCAATGCTACATTTATCCAAATCTCATCTGAATGACCTGAATGAATGAATCTTGAATGACCTGAGGGGAGTACATTTTCAGAAAATGTTCATTTTTGGGTGAACTATTCCTTTAAGACTAGGAACATGCTTTAAAGTAGTTTTGATTAGATGTTGACAGATCTGTTTCTAGTTGTTCAGTTTATGAGAGAACCAGTGCCAGACCACAAGCCCTTAAAGGTCTCATTTATTTCTTTTTAACATTCTCATTCAAGTCACACACGTTCTTCTCCTGTCTCCCACCCTTCAAACACACACACACACACACACACACACACACACACACACACAAACCGCTTTTGTTTCAGTGAGTCCTGGGTTGGTTGGCAGGAGGAAGTCAAATGGCAGCGCATGGAGACAGTAGACAGACAGAGACGTCAGTGAACATGAGTGAGAGGAAGGTCACAGATCAGACTGTAGTTTGTCTCGCTGTTGGGTTCAGCATCCTGCTGTTTGCATGTCTAGTTTTTGAGGATTGTAGCATATTGTTGAAATGCATCAGAAATGGAAAGTTGCTTGATGTTTTGCAGGAAGTTCAGTGCTACATGTGGTGTTTGGTTTCAGACGGTTTCAGACAGATGACAGGAACAGGAGGAATGAGGCCATCACCTGTTTTCTGCATCACAGCAATAAATGAGATGTTTGACCCAATTTTATTGCTGGGTGATATAGCTAGTATATTTATTCATTATTCATATTATTAATTCAGAACTCAATGATTTACTCCAGAATGTTTGCAGAAGTGCCTGCATAGCATTTTTCATGCATTAAAATGTTTTAGTAGCAATATATGGATGTAAAGAATTCTGTTTATGGCTATGAATTGCTATATTGGTGCAAATGAATGAAAATTATTAACTATAATTTTCCTTTATGTCTGTTTAGTAAAAAAAAAGTGTAGAAAATTTTTTTTTTGTTAGGTAGTTTACTGTTTTACTTTATATATATATATATATATTATTTATCAAATGGTTGGTTGCATAATTATAAATGTCTTTAAAGAAATAGTCAATTCAACACGAACACAAAAACAACCACTCTTGTGTTTTCGAAAAGAATGAAAAAAGCAACATGCACCAATATAACAATTCATTGTCGTAAACAGAATTCTTTACCTCCATATATTGCTACTAAAACATTTTAATGCATGAAAAAATGCCATGCAGGCACTTCTGCAAACATTCTGGAGTCCAATCGATTTATTGAAACTGCACAGATTTGCGGAAATGAATTTTTGCTGCTAAAGTTTAAATGAGAGAAGTGACTTTAAATAGTATTAGACCTATACTTGAACAGCTATAAATTTGATCAAAATACTTTCCAGACACATAAATGCAGATTGTTATTTATAGAAATGTATTTTCCATGAATAGTAGTTTCTCATAGGAATGTTGGGTGGGATGAATCTTCGTTAACCAGCCTCATAATTAGGAGGGTTTGGTCTGCAGTTAAATGAAAAGCATCTCGTTCCTCATAAGCCTGCGTGAGTGCTTGGACAGTATGGATTTAGAAGGGTACTAATTAAGTGCATTGATTACAATACTAGAACAGCTGATATTTAAAGCAGATTCTTCTCAGTTGTGTAACCAAAAGCCTCTCAGTTTGTATTTACTGTCATTCATAATCATCAGGTTTTGTGCTGAAAGTGTCCACATTAGAGAACATGGCTGAACATATTGTTTGTATGCTTTTTTGTTATTTCCAAAAAGAACATAAAAAGCAACATAAGGGGCCGTTCACACAGAACGCGTCATTGCGTCTGAAAACCCGAGACGCACTTTTGAGACTCGCCTCCTCCGCTATGTTGCTGTCAAATAAAACAGTTGCCATGCAAACTTGCTACTGTAAACAAAAGCTTGAAACGCTTGCCCCGCCTCCGGGGTCTTCTGATTGGCCCGCTGTTTTGGAACTAACAGTGATGAGCGGCGCTGCATGTAAAAGTTGAAATTCTTGTAAAGGGCTGTTCACACAGAACACGTTTTTTCATTCCAATGCACTACTTTTCCATTGTTTTTCTATGTAAATGCACTAGATAGACATGTACGACTGCTGTGCAGCATCGCCATGCTTTACTCTATTTGCAGGCTTATTTGTTATGCATGTTTAATTTATTCCAGAACTGAAAATTTTGATCATGGTGGAAAACTGTTTTTATTTATAGTGCAACTTTAGTTTTAGGGCTTTTAGATGATGAAGGGAACGTTTCAGAGTTGTATGGATGTCTTTTCTAAAATGCAGCATAACAATCTGTAGGTCTGCTGGGCCGCTCTTAAAATCTTATCCATGAAAAGCACAAACCACTGGGCGTGTGGTTCGGCCCCACCAGCCTTTTGCCACGTGTGCAGTTTTCCTCTAATTTGTGAAACCTGTGTGTTTTACCCAGCATGCATGTTTGTAGCTCCTGACAGGCTGTAGTTGAGTTTGATCACAGGTTCTGTTAGAGGGATTCATGATTACAGCACTTCAAAGATGAACCATTCTGACACACGTCAAGATGAATAATGCAGATATTTCCCTTCAAGTTCAATTAGACATGCTGCAATGTTTTAGTTCCTGGCAGTCAAAAGTTTGGAATAATTAAGATTTTTTAAAATGTTTTTAAAAGAATTCTCTTCTGCTCACTAAGGCTGCATTTATTTAATCAAAAATAATACAGTAAAATCAGTAATATTATTAAATGTTATTACAATTCAAAAAGAGCTGTTATGTGAATATCTGTACAAATGTAATTTATTTCTGTGATGCGCAGCTGTATTTTCAGCATCATTACTCCAGTCTTCAGTGTCACATGATCTTCAGAAATCAGTATAATATGCTGATTTGCTGCTCAAGAATCATTTCTGATTATCATCAATGTTGAAAACAGTTGTGCTGCACAATATTTTTGTGGAATTTAAATAGTTTTGTGGAAATCAAAAATCTCGTTCAGACAATGCATTTTTGTCAAGGCAACTGAAGATGTCTTGTTCAAATGTTTAATGAATTCCAACACATGCAATGTTCTTTTTGTCATCATTTAATTTAATCAATGAGTTTAAATGACTCTTACTGAAATGATTCACCCCAGATCCTGGCTAT